CTTTTGTTCAGAGTCTCCTGGCACCTTACTGTCAACTATTACGACGAGAACGGCGGCCACCCCATCGACCAGGCGGGCATCTTCCTGACTGGCATCGGTGAGTCCGGGCACCCCCTGGCCCAAAGGGCACCCCCACTCCTCCCCGCTTCCCTGGCTTGCTCCGCCTCAGCACGGGGCACTTGGCACGCAAACACGCCCCCGTCAATTCGAAGTCCCAGGAGACTCTGAACAAAAGGTCGTTTGCTGGATCAGCCAGTTTCTCGCCTTCCTCTCGGGCTCCGCAGGCGATCGGGCAGCAATTGTCCCCGGATGCCCTTTCAGAGAGTCACTCTGCGTCCATTTCTCTTCCGGCCCCACAAGCCTCGGGCACATTCTCCCCATCCTCACAATGCCCCATGGCTGTTGGGGTCGCAGGAGGGTTCCTGGCAGTCCCTAGAAACGGGGACCAACCGTGTGCTTACCAGTCTGTATTTCCAGAGATCTCGCTGGACGTGGACGCCGACCGCGATGGGGTGGTGGAGAGGAACAACCCAAACAAGGTGATTCCACAATTCGCGCCAAGGTGCCTTTGAGCGGTTTGTTTGTTTAAGCGAGGTGTTCAGGGAGCAGGCCAAGCTCCGCAGGGAACCTCCTCCGCAGAGGCGCCAGGGTGGATGCAGACTCTTCCTCCTGCGCGCTCGACAATTCGAAGACCCTTCCAGTCGTTTCCCTCCAGCTGCAGGGCTAGGGAAACCTCCCGGCCCCTCCCTGTGCTCCCCAAGCCTCCCTGCTGAGACGGCGATCCCCAGCTGTGGTCCTCCCTCAGCGGAGGCTTCTGCTTCCCCGGGCCGTCAGCAGGTCGATCTTCTGCGCAGTGGAGCCTGGGAAGACCCCCGGGGCACCCCCCAAAGGGCCGTGTTTCGACGCGCAAGGGGCTTGACGCTGTGCTTCCCAGGGTCCCGGAGAGGGAACTGCTCTCCGGCACGGTCTGTCTAATGCGGTGCTTTCCAGATGGGTTGGACCACAAGCCCCGACACGCCCGGCCAGTGCCGGCCGGGAATCAACCCCTCGCAGTCCAGCACAGCTGGCGCTCACCAGTTCAGGGGAGCTGGAGTGGCCGAAAACGTTCCAGGGTGCCCGGTTAGGCCGAAGAGAGTCACCCGGCCCCCAGGAGGCCCCGGCCAGCCATGGGCAGTGCTGCCTGGATGGGATGGAGACCGTGCCCTTGACCCCCGAAGGGCACCGGGTTCGGGAAGGGCGGTTTGTGCGAGCCCCGCCTTCGGTGCTGACTTCCCGTGTGGCCATTCCAGGCGTCATGGAGCTGGGGCCCCGACGGGCAGGGTGCCATCCTCCTCGTGAACTGTGACAGGGAAAACCCATTCATTGGCATGGAAGACTGCCAGGACGACAAGATATTCTCCAAGCAAGGTACGTGAGGCGTGCTTGCTCCTTGTACCCTGTCCTGTGGCCCCACCAGCTCCAGCCACGGGGCTGTGGCCCCTCTGCACACTGCCGGTTTATGTGGGCCAATTCTGTGGAAAGCAGTTTCCTGTACATCGGACCTTTGCACAGAACCATGAGGACTAGAATCCTTATTTTGGAGAGCGGGGTTGTAGCTCAGTGGTGGAGGTCTGACACCCCTGACTTGGAAGAAGGGCTGGGAAGAGCGGACTGCGCTGATGATTCCAGGGGCCGTTGAGGGAGAAAGCAACCAGCTCAGCCTCTCAACTGAGCAGAGCCGCTGTTAGAGAGCAGGCTGGCATCCTTATGGGGCACACGGACGGTAAAGGGGGGAGCAGGGAGGCCAAGAGATCTGGAATCATATCTGAGAAGGTACCCCAGGGGCTCGAGGCCCCTGTGCGGCTCCCCCATCCCTCACGTTGCCGGCATGAACGGCGTGGGGCCAGCCCAGCGCGTGGGGTACAGAGGCATCCGGCGCGCCGATCCCAACCAAGGCACGTCACCCAGAAAGCCGCCTGCGGGCAGCTCGGCCCCGGCGTCTGTGGGCTCGGTCCCTACTTCTCCTTGCTTACCATTTCCGGGGTGTCGAACCCCCAGATCTGGATGACATGTCCCGCATGATCCTGAGAACAAAAGGGCCGGACCGGCTGCCCCCCGGATACGAAATGGTTCTTCACATTCCGATGAGCGACACTGACAAAGTTGGGGTCTTCTACTTGCAGAGTAAGTCCCACCCCCCCCCCCCCCCCCCTTCCTCCCTCCGTCATGCGCTCCACTGTTCTTTCCCTCCCCGTGTCTTCTGGTTTGATGTTTGCTGAAACCTGCCCTGGGACGCTTATCCCACACTAATCAAATCAGGGGGAGAGAACGTAGCCCCTCCTGGCCAGGCCCTCTTGCCCCACTGAACCGAGGGCAAATTTCCCCCATTCTAAAAGCCCGAGATGCCCCTCCAGATGTCCCAACCCTAAAATGCTTGCAGCGTGGGACTGAGAGAGAATGGACCGGCATCTGGAGGCTTCGTTCCGAGCAGGAACGCTTTAAAGCTTCTAAAACTTGACCTATGTAAATCAAATTGGATGGGGGGCTTAGAGAGAACAGAAAGTCTCAGACGGGCAAGACTCCGGCCCCCTTTCTGTCCTTTGCTGGGGGAATCCATCCCGGGAACACATGTGTGGCTTTGTCTACAGCTGCTGGGGGGCCCGCAAGATGGAGTCTCCCTCTGCCTGGCGCAACATGCCGTTTTCTGGGAAGTCTCTGCCTTCCGTGAGCAGGCGGCCACTTTTAGCCTCTTCCAGGCGCGTACAGTCCTGGCACCCGCAGCTCATTTCCACCGAGAACCGCCTGGAAATCCACGGCCTTCTCCATCAACACATCTAATGAGCAAGGGCCTCTGATGTCTGCAACATTCCGGGCACTTAATTGGCACCCGGAGAAGGACCCCCGCCCACCTGCCCGCCTGCCAACAGAGCCGCTGCAATTAGAGCTGGCCAAAGATGGGGGGGGACTCGGCACTCAGCCGCTCACGCTCTCAATCAGAAGCGGCTCTCTGAAAGATCCCGGGGAGGTGGCCAGGCGGGGGGGGGGGGGCGGGTTACACACGAGGAAGGGGGCCGAGTCTGCTTGCTGGGCCAGGAGAAGTCAGGATTAGAAAGTGCTCTGGAAAGCAGCGTAAGAGGGTAAAGAGGAGGGGCAAGGCAAGCCACGGTGGAGGAGTTTTCGGGCTACGGCGGCCCCCCTGGCCTGTCCTGCCAGCTTCTGCAGGGAGTCCCCTCCTCCAGGGCTCTCCTCGTGGCCCTTATACTAGTCTCCGGTCCACCCAGCCCCCCATAAGACCCCTCCTCTCAGTAGCAAATGGGCTTCCCATGCCAACCGGTTGCCTTTGTGGCAATTCCGTGCCGATCACTGTACTTTAATAACTCAGAGATGCCCCCAGAACCTAGTATTTTCTGTTGAAGGATTTGGACCACCCGGACGCAAGGGACCGGTTTTAAAAACAAGAAAGCTCCGTCGGCCTGCCCCTTAAAGTTTCGTTTCAGGCAGGCCGTCCTCCCTGGACTTGTTGACTTTGCTTGCAGCCTGAGACCCGTCAACAATCTCCGTCAGACCGGGAGCCACATAGCTCTTTCCCCCAGACGGGGGACAGCCCCTTTGCCCAAACACAGAGTGCTCCGCTTCTGGAGCCCCATCAATGCAGGTGCCACCGATGCAGCCCCGTAGCCAGGAAGGGCCCGTCTCTTGGAGGCACCCGCCTGAGCCCCTCCGATGGCGAGGGGCCTCGGAGGGGAAGGGCCTGCACGCAGCCGGCTCCGGGGTCAGGCGAACCTGCACGGGAGCTGGGGAGACCCCGACCCCTCCTGAACAGCACCCCTCCTCCTCCGCCCACAGATCCGTTCTTCGGCCAGCGCTACATCCACATCTTGGGCCGGAAGAAGCTCTACCACATGGTGAAGTACACCGGGGGCTCTGCAGAGATGGAGTTCTTTGTCGAGGGCCTCCGCTTCCCGGACGACAGCTTCAACGGGCTCGTCACGATCAACGTCAGCCTCCTGGAGCCGGTTGCTGAGGTTCGAAGCGGAGGGGTGCGGCGGCCTCCGCGCTGGAAGGGCGCGTCCCATAAATCAGGGGTGGCGGCGTCCCGCTGAGCCCTGGCTGGGCCCGCCGCCTCCGCCGCCTCCCTTGTGCCCTTTTACAGCCATCGGCGCGCGTGGCCCTCGGGTGGCATTTCAGCCGCGCATCTGCCCAAGCCCCGCCGCGCCTTCCCTCTGCCGGGGCTCCCAGCATTCGTTCAGCTTCATGGAAGAGCCCGGCGAGGGGTCCCGTATCATGCGAGAGGGCGGGGCGCAGCTCCCTCCCTCTCTGGGAGCTTCTGAAAAGAACGTTCCATGCTCTCTTCCGGGGACTTTTCCTGCCTAAACACACGTTGGACGGTGCCCTGCACAGAATCTTTGCAGCCGCGGCTTCCTGAGAGGCAGGCACCCAAACCGGCAGGAAGACACAGACAGGTGTCTCAGGTCCATCCCTCCCTCCCTCCCTCAATCCCTGGAGGAGCCTCTTGATGCTTGGAGGTTTCGGGGGACGGTGATCCGGGCCTCCTGCTCCATCTCTGGGTCCTTTGCACCGGCTTCTTCGGGGACCCCAACTGCCGAACGAGCGTCTAGGCTGCTTCACACTCTCTGCAGTGTTTGGACGCATTTGTGATGGCTTTTACGTTGGCTTTCACATTCTATCGTTGGCATTTGCAGGGTGTGCTGCTTAGAGGTCAAACACCACCGAAGCAGTTTAACCGTTTAACTCCGTGACTCAAAGGCTCCCTTCCCGTCCCCAGAAAGGACTTAAGATGGATGAAGCAGATTGCGAGGGGAAACTAGGAGGCATCTGTTGTGTGAACGGTCCTGATCACCAATTCTTGGCATAAACGTGTTGAACCCCCTGCTCTTGAACTCCTGGCACCAGCCTGTGTGAGGGCTGCTTGCTCCGGCTAGATTTGCGGGGATGTAGTAAAAGAAATCCAAAATAGGTACCGCAGGTCTGGCGACCGCCCGTCACTGGGTGCCCGGAGTGTGCCGCCTGTGCCACGTGGTCTCCCCGCTTGCCACGGACGGTCCCGTGGCCGGCCGCTGGCTCCCCCCCGGGCAACCCGCACTGGGTAAGCGCAGAAGGAGCTGCTGATGTTTCGGCTCGACACTTCCCTTCGCACGGCTAATGCGCCAGCAGTGCAGTGACCTTTCCTCTCAAGTGGCACCTTTTGTTCGCTCTCTGGGCAGGGCAGGCCTCTCCGCGGCGAGCACTCCCTGCCTCGCTCTTTTTAGAGCCATGTAAATTGGGCTGCAGAAAGGCGATTGGTTTTCAATTAAGCCGCGCGGCCTTCTCGGGTTCTCTGCCGCCCGCGGCCGGAATGCTGCGCATGACTTCTGGGGGGCCGCGGCTGCATAAAAATATAACTCCCACCCACCGTCTGCTGTTCTGGTGACATGTTTCTGCTGAAAAGCACAGTCAGCCACGTTGAAAGAAATCCCCAATCCATATCGATCGGCGCAACTCCAGGGTCAGGTACACACACACAAGGTGCGTGCGTTTGAGGTGCGTTCCAGGTGTCTCCAGCAGCCGAAAAGGAGGCCGCCGAAGGGAGGGCGAAGACCGGAGAGAAGGAAAAGTGGGCCAGCCACCCCACATGTCCACCACTGCCCCTTGCACCCCACAACGCTTTTCATCACCCCGCCTGATTGAGAGACAGGAACTGGCACGCTCCGCAGCCTCTGGGCACGGCTTGGGTGTCGGGGCCTTTCCAGCGGAGATCTGGCCTTCACGCCTCGTCCTCGCCAGCTTCACGAGCCGCAGGGCTCTTTGCTTCCTTGCTGGGGGTGTGGCATCACTCGGCATCCCCGTGCGCACTCTTCTCCGTGTGGCTGGAACGCTGCTGATTTTAATTCAGCCATGCAGCATTCAGCCCATTAACCGATTCCCGTGTGCAGGCGGGAATTCTGCCAAGGAAACGGGCTCAGGGCACACCTGGAAGCCGCTCTTTCCCGGGGGGATTCTGGTTCCCGGTGTGCGCCCAAGGGCCCCATCCTGGCGGCTGAGGGTGCCGTCTCTGGGGTGGGGCAGGTCAGGGCACCCCAATGTTTAGCCATTCGTTCCTAAGCTGCGTGGCGTCTGTGCTCCTGTCCCAACAGGGTATCCCCCAGACCCCGATTTTCACCGACACCGTCGCCTTCCGGGTTGCTCCGTGGATCATGACCCCAAACACCTTGCCTCCGGTCAGCGTGTTTGTGTGCAGGTAAGGCGGCCCAACTCCAGGGAGGCCTTTTGATCACCTCTCAACGGGCTCAGCTCACTGGAGGGAAGCTGGTGGCCGGGCCGGGTCTGGGGAGGGGAATGCCTCTTCCGGGGTTCTGAGACCTCCGTCAACCGCCGCCCTCTTTCTTCCTGCACCAGCGTGAAAGACAATTATCTCTTCCTGAAGGAGATCAAGAACCTGGTGGACAAAGCCAACTGCAAGATCCACGTTTGCTCCCGGTACATGAATCGCAGCGACCGCTGGATGCAGGTGAGGGGGCCGCAGGGCGGGCTGGGGGTCTGCGGGCCCGGGGTTTGGTTCGTTCGTCCCCATGCTCACCCTCGGGGTCCAGGACCCTGTGGCCACAGTGGGCGGCTGGAATCGCATGGCCCGAAGCTGGTGTGTGGGGCTCAGCGGCAGGGAGGAGCCGGGGGAGCGGGTCCGAGAGACTCGCCCCTGGGGCTTTTCCCGTTTGGCGCCCGCGGACGGTTTGGGTGCCGGATGAGAAGGGCCTTTGGCCCAGTCCGGTGAGGCTCTCCTTCCATTCGTTATGGCGGGGGCCACATGGAATTAACGAGTGAGCAGGCATCCCGGGGAGGGTGTGGGGTGCGGGGGAAGCCGCTGCCCGTTCGTTAAACTGCTCCACTTTAATTGCAGTGGCTTCTTTCTTGATTAAGGGCAGGCTTGCCCCATGCCTCAGCCACGGCCGCTCCAAGATGGCGCTCCCAGAGCAGCTTACAAGGCATTCAGTCATCTCCTGATGGGATGTGCACAATCTTTAAAACGCACGAGAGGAAAAGGGGAAGGGGAGGGAAGAGGAAAAGTGCAGGGCTGAAAGCTCAGGCCAGAGAGCCCGGTGCAGCTGCCCAGCAGGGAGGACCTCCTCACTGATTCTCCTTCCCCGGCAGGACGAAATAGAGTTTGGCTACATCCAAGCCCCTCACAAGGGCTTCCCGGTGGTCCTGGACTCTCCGAGGGACGGGGGCCTCCGGGATTTCCCCATCAAGGAGATTTTGGTAAGCGCCTGACCTTTGTCCCCCGCCCGAGTCCTCCTGTGTGAACGGGATGCGTGGGGGGTCTCATCAGTGTCTGCCTCGAGCAGAGACAGTTCCTGATCCCCAACGCTGCGCCTCGCCTGCCTGGTGGGGTAGTCTGCACTCTTGCCCCCGGAGCGCTGCAAGGCCGGGGACGGTCTCCAAGAGGCCCAGAGCGACTCGCGGGTGCGGAATGGGCAGCCGGGACGTGTTGGGGCGGCCTCCCTGGTCTGGGGAATGTCGAGTACCAAAGCCCTGCGGATCCAGCGGGGAAGGGTGCTTCGAGGCAGGGCATCGGGAGACACGCACTCAGTTTGCTGCTGAAATGCCTTCCGCGCTCTGAAGGGGGACCTGCGCTCTCCTTGGAAACCCGCACCTCTCTGAGTGTCACGGTGGCATTCCAGATCGTACACGCTTCCTTTGGCCATTGATTTTATCTTTTTTTCTTTTTTTGCTATATTTCCGTCACGCCCATTTCCCTGCAAGGAGCCCAGGGCCGCTGATATGCATCTTCTCTCCTTTTCATCCTCAAAGCCCCCTCGAGAAGTAGGTTCCTGGGAGCTCCTGACCGCCCCAGAATCGCCCAGGCAGCTCCTGGCCAAATCATGAGCATAAGTAGTCCGAAAGTGCACCTCTTAAGGGAGATGCTGATGACTGTCCACACGGCGAAAGGACTTCCAATATTCAGGAAGCAAACTTAAGTCTGGAGAGATTCTCAAAGTCCCAACGAGCCGAAACCGAATGGCAAAACTGGGGAAAGAGGGAGCACGTGAGCTGGACGTGTTTGCCCATTTCTGCTTTAGCGGTGGGGCCTTCCTGGGAAGCTGTGCCAGGATTCGGTGTGGCCCCTCAGAGTGGCCAGATAATCCGCCAGCCGTGGCGTGGGCCACGTCAGCTCAGGGCAGGTGGAAGCCTTGCTGTCTGTACAGCAAAGGCACGGAAGAGAGCGGCGTTTCGGCCAGCCCTTCCTTTTGGCCCCAAAGATGGCTTTGTGCCCGCTGCGCGATCACAGCATCCCCGAAACGCAGAGGAGCGTGCATGTTGCCAGTATCCGTGTCCGCGAGGCGCCACCCTCGGTCGCTGCCGTGGCATCGCCCGTAACCGGAGACGGGCGCGGCGCTCCGGGTCCTGCAGCCCGAACAGCCCCCTTCTCCACCCTTGCCGGCGCCGAGAAGGTCAATCGCTTTTAAATGTGGCGAAATCTATCATTTATCATGCCTCGAATGAGTACAGGCAATCCTGGATTTGTCATGCAGGATAGGAATACCACACTGATCTTTCGCTCAGCCCCTTTTCAAAGAGATACGCAAAGCAACCGGGCACCTCCCTCCCTCTGCCATCTCTTTCAAAAGACGAGAGAAAGGAGAACTTACGCAGCATTTAGAAAAGCGCTTTCGGACTGCAGGACAGATACCCTGATTGTATTCCAGCCTTTGGCCGCCAAGCCTTCTCTAATCCCCAGTAATATCCTTTCCCATCTCATTGTCCAGATGGGAAATTGTATCTGAGCGTTCCCTCCGCCCTGCCGGTGCGGTGGCTGGGCATCCATCAGCCTTTAGGGCCTGCTTGGTGGAAAGCGAGAAGAGGATGAATTAATTTCTTCATTGAGTGAGGAGGCGGCCTTGGCCCGCGGCCCATTGCAGGTCAGCTGAGCTCAGCCTTTGAGGCAGGAAACCTGAAACGACACGCTTTTCCTTCTGCGAGCCCTGCTGATGCTGCCTCTGAGGGCAAGAGCAACGCAACTTTCCAAAGAGGCCGAGGAGAAGTGCGTGTTTATTTCAAACGTGTGTATGCCACCCAGTTCTGCTTAGCCCCTTCCCAGTCCGGAACGCCCCCTGCCCAGTTGCTCCAGCAAATTCAGCCCTGCTGGAGTTTGATTCAGCGATCAGAAATGGGCTGGAGATGTTCCCAAAGGGGCTCGACTTGTCCCTTGCCCCCTTGACTTCAGCATGAAGGTCTGGATCTCCTTTTCTTGAAGAAGCTGACAAAAGCAAGCGACTCGCCCTCTCGGGCATCATACCCCGGCTCTTCTCCACGTCTAAATAAGACAGCAAGGGGTGGCAGGGGGCCATGTGGCTTCACAGCCACCCCCTGCGGTGCGGCTCGGCTCAGCCGGCCGGCTCCTGCCACAGGCTCACAGGATGGAGGGCCAGCTGTTGCCCTCGGCCCGGAGCCATCCCGGAGAGCCTCAGATGCGAATAGCAGAGCTGGCACCTCCTCGCTGGGCGTTGGGTGGGGATTACTGAATGATTAAGGATTAGGGCGCTGAAACCGATCTCCTGAGTCATTCTGGAATCTCTCCGGCGGAGGAGAGTTTGTGTGCGGAGCCATTGTAAGGGCATCCAGGCTTGTGGCTTTCTCGGATGGCTTCCTGCCCGTCCGTGGCCGGACAGGATTGCGGGCTTGCGAAAACCCGAAGGGAGAGAGCCGCCTTGCCCACCGGACGGCGAGGGCATCCCCTTCTTCGCGGGGCCCGGAGGAAGCCATCCGCCCGGCCTCGGCCTCGGCCTCAAGCGTGGCTGGCACGGCTCGGAAGTCCCTCTTGGCGGGAGGGCGAAAGCGAACAGGCTCCCAGGGCGTCTGCTGACCTAGTCGCATGTGTGGGGACTGAAGCTGGGAAGGGAAGGGTTAAGACTAGAGCCGGGGGTCAGACTAGATGGCCTGGGAGGCCCCTTCTGACTCACTCTGTTTCTATGTTTCTTTCTTTCTATAAGGCTTTCTTGGGGATGGAGCGTTTGGGATCACGGAGGCCAGGTGCAAATACATCGGATAGTTCATTTCATTAGGGGTGCTTCAGATGGGAATTTAATTGTCTGGCATTACCTGCCACAAAGTCTCAATAAATCCCCCCCCCCTTATTTCTACCTTTGAATGTATAGATGTTAACGAGCATAAGCAGGTTTGGCTCCCGCAGCCCCCAAATGTTTTACATGCCAAGCAGCCCCCTACAGACGGGCACAAATGGCCGGCCGGCGAGTTATCAGGTGCCGAGCAGATTAAAAGAAATTCCGCCCGGGGCCCTCCTCGCCTGCTGCCCACTGCCTCCCAACGGGGCTTATGTGGGATTTAAGTGGCTCAGGGAGACGGGGACGGGTCCCAGCACTGGGGCATTCTCGCCTATTAGCACAGTATCGTGACAAGTATATTTGCCCGTCTGTCAGTCGAGGGCAGCTGCTGTTCTGCCCGCCCCCCCGCCCCCGGCGTTTGGAAAGGTGCCATTTTAGGCTGCCTCATCAGGGGTCTCTACCTCGCAGGAAGGGACCGTTCCCTCGACTCTGCACTGCTGCAGCCCCACATCCCCACGGTGCCCCATACTGCAAACAAGGATCCTGGCTAAGTGGCACCAGTCCAGCGAAGGGCAGCGATGATCAGGGGACCGGGACTGGGACTGGGCAGGCCTCGCCTCGCCTCGCGGACAGCAGACGGGAGGCTGTGGGAGCCAGCGGCTTCTCCCTTTTTTGTGACCTCACGGGCTCCGTGGATGCAAGCGGTGGAAGGCCGGACGTCCTTCTCCCAAGCACGTGCTGCCGGCATCTCTAATCTTGCGTCTGCTCCCTGGCAGGGTCCGGATTTTGGCTATGTGACCCGGGAACCCCTCTTCGAAGTGGTCACCAGCTTGGACTCCTTTGGGAATTTGGAGGTCAGCCCGCCGGTGACCGTCAGGGGCAAGGAGTATCCTCTGGGGCGCATCCTCATCGGGAGCAGCTTCCCCACGTAAGAGAGACGGAGACCCCCGCCAGCGTTTCGTGTTTTGTAAGGCCAGGCAGTGCAAACATCCGGAGGACCGGTCAGAAACCGCCACTGGATCCAATTCTCTCTTGGCCAAGAACTTAGCAATCTTCCACACGTGTGGGACTACAGTTCCCATCAGCAGGGGCCACGACAGCTGTGGAACATGGGAGCAGTAGGCCAGCACTTGTGGCTTAAGATCTGCTTTTATAGCCATGGCACTGGCAGTCAAGCTGGGCAAAAGGAGTCCGTTCTTAGGCGGGACGCGGGGCATGCCTGGCGAATCTCATAACCTCAGGCCTGAGCAGGCCCCGTCCCCTCCGCTCCCCCGACCCCGGACAGGCAGGCGCTTTCCCGACCGGTCCGCGCGGGTCTCCCCCTCCTAAAGGGTCCCAGAGTGCGGCAACCGGCAGCGAAAGCTTGACGCCACGACGTGGTCGGCCTTTTTGGCACCATCCTTTCCGCTGCGGCCTCGCCCACTCCGGGAAGCACTTCCCCAGAAAGGGACTCGGTCCCCGGGCTGCCAGGGCTCCAGCAAGGGTGCCGGGGGCAGAGCTGCAAAACGCCCGCCGTCTCGCGTTCTCAGCAGCGCCTGCTCGGTCCCAGCCTGGTCTGCTTGGCTCTGTTGCCTGGAGGCTTCTCTCTTCATCGTCTCCCCTCTCCTCCCCTCCCCTCCCCTCCCCTCCCGCCATGGGGGAACCCAACCCTTTCAGATCTGCGGGACGAAGGATGACCAAAGTGGTCCGGGACTTCCTTTACGCCCAGCAGGTCCAGGCCCCGGTGGAGCTCTACTCGGACTGGCTGACCGTGGGCCATGTGGATGAATTCGTGACTTTCGTTCCCATCCCTGGAAAAAAGGTGGGGCCGCCACAGGCCCGTGGGGGGGGGGCTGTGACTGCGCTGCGTGGCCGCCAGTGAAAGGAAGGGCAGGGCTTCCCCTCGACGGGCCCCAGCCGGCCTCGCAGCCCCAGACCTCTGCGCTCGCGCACGGCTGATGTGGGCGCCGAACTCCGAGGCTCGGCCGAGTCGCGAGCGCGCCGAGCGTCCAGCAGCCCCGGCACCGGGTGGCAGGCGGGCGGGTGGGGAGGGCCGGGGCTCCCTCCTGCCCCGGCAAGCCGTGGCCTGGCTTGGTGTGCCGGTCTCTGGAGCGTCGAAGGGCAGCCCCGGCACGGTCCCGTCACCCGGCGCCTGCCCTTCGGTCACCCGCGGCTCTTGCCCCTGCCTCCCCCAGCAATTCCGGATGCTCATGGCCAGCCCCTCGGCCTGCTACAAGTTCTTCCGAGAGACACAAAAGGAAGGTCACGGCGAAGCCGTCATGTTCAAGGGTAGGTTGCCGCAGCCGGGCCCTCGCAGGGCACACCTGGCGCAGATCCGTCATCGGGCTCCTGGGCGGAGGAGGGGGAGGAAGGCCCGGTCTTGCTGGCAGCTCCCCGGATCATCTTACCGCCTGAAGGACCGGGGCAAAGGGCCGCCGTGGGGATGCCTGGGCCACCGGCATGGAGCCTCTCGATCACCCGGGAAAAATGCAATGCACTCCCTGGAGGAACACCTGCTGTGCGGGAGAAGCATCTCCGGCACCGGGAGGCAGGCCGCCGGCCGGGCAGGGGCAGGAGTTGCCATGGCCACCAGACACAAACACACACGGCTGCCTCTGCAGTGGGGCGGCCGACCCACATGGAGAGGCTGCGCACTCCGGGGCTCAGACCTGGCTCGCTCTCCCACTTGGGCGGCCCTGCTGGGGCGCCTTGGCGTGGGTTTGGTGGAGCTGGTTTCCAGCCCCCGCCTGGTGCCGGGGGGCACCATCCCCTCACGGACGCGGCCCCTTCGAAACTGAGTCGGCAGCGTGGTTGCGAGCCCCTTTTGCCCTTGCGGGTGGCGTAGGACCCGCGGCCCCAGGACCAACCCGGCCCTCCATCCACTGGCCACGGGGCCCCTTCTCCCAGCCATTCCCGGCTCTTGTGCAATTCCAGAAGGTGGAAATGTACTTCCTAAGACTCAGGTACAGGGCAGGAAAAGCCTTCAGGCACAATTCCCGGAATTTTTGGCCTGACAGCCGGCCAAATGCCGGGAGCTCCTTGTCCCAGCAGGATGGCCTGGGCGCCTCTTCCCCAGTTCTTGCTGTCAGCGAGACCCTTGCTCTTCCACGAGGCCCCCCCACGGAGCGCTCCAGCGGGGCTCCCGATCTCTCTCGCATTCGGCTGGCTCCGCACGCCTTTGCTATAGTTGCTTTAGGAGTCGCTATCGCATTCAGACCAAAAGGCAGGATGCATGGGAGCCGCGGGGAAGGAAATCGGTCGTCCAGATTGCCAGCCTTTCTGCAGAATTCCCTGGCTGCTCCTGCGTGGCCCACAAAGGACCCCTCCCACCAAGACAGCCCCTCTCCCGCCAGCGTGGCTTCGCCTCTTTCCATTGCCGCCGCGTTGTCTTCTGGAGCCACGTGGCGTTCGGGCCCCGTTTCCTTAGGGAGGTGCAAAGACACGGGGGGGGGAGCTCCTGGGCGAAAGGGAGGGGTGCCACGTCACGCGGCCAGAAGCCCGGGGCTCAGCAGCCCACCCTCTGCCTTCCAGGCTACAGCGGCACGGACACCAAGCGCGTCACCGTCAACAAGGTCCTCTCCAACGAGGTCTTGCTGCAGGAGAACCAGTACTGCCAGGTGAGCCACCGAACGGCCCGTCCGTCCACCAACCAACAGAAGGGCTCCGAGACTGAAACCCAGACCTGGAACTTGGTGTGCATAGCAAAGCCACCCCCCCGCACCCCTCAGGAGGTGCAGCTGGGGTCATTCGGTCCAAACAACGCACTCTCTTCCACGAATACCAGTGTGTCCGCGTGGTGGATCCCCGGCACACGGGTAGCTCTGCAGCCCGTGCGGTTTGCAGCCCGGCAGATCTGTGGGCTGGAAGGCAGATTTACGGCGGCACCAGGCCATTGCGGCACTGCTCCCCGTGGGCTGAGGGATGCGCCGGGGCAAGGACCGTGCCCGGGGGTGTGACTCCACCCAGGCAAGGTGGGGCCGGGGGCCCAGCTCTTGCTCGAAGGCTGAAAGGTCTCCCAGCTTGCACTAGCGCCGATACGATCACTTGGGGGCTGCAAAACAGTTCTCCACCCTTGTAATCTATAAAAACGGTGCATCGAGAACCGGCGAGGAGGGAAGGACGCCTGGCCCAGCGGAGGGAGCAGGGCGGTGTGGGGCGGCCCCCCGATCGGAGCCGGGCTGTTGCCCCGTGGGGGCCGCCAACGCCGCTCTTGCCTCCTCCCAGCGCTGCATTGACTGGAACCGCGACATCCTCAAGGAGGAGCTGGGCTTGCAAGAGAAGGACATCATCGACATCCCCGCCCTCTTCAAGATGGACAAGCAGGGGAAGGCCATGGCGTACTTCCCCAACATGGTGAGGGGCGCGGGGCCCTCGGCAGCCCGGGGTGGGGGAGGGAGCAGAGCCGCGGCGGCCACCCCTCTGAACGACCCCCGCCTCCGCACGCAGGTGAACATGATCGTCCTGTCCCGGGACCTGGGCGTGCCGAAGCCCTTCGGGCCCATCATCGAGGCCGAGTGCTGCCTGGAGAAGCACGTCTGCTCCCTGCTGGAGCCGCTGGGGCTGAGCTGCACCTTCATCGACGACATCTCCTCCTACCACAAGCACCTGGGGGAGGTGCACTGCGGCACCAATGTGCAGCGGAAGCCCTTCGCCTTCAAGTGGTGGCACGTCCTCCCCTGAGGGGCCCGGCCCGCGTTGGCCCGCGTCCCCCGGCGCTCCGGGCCGGCCGAGGCCGCTTTGCGTCTCCCCGGCAGGGCGCCAGCCTCGGATCCCGGGCAGGGCTGCGGCCGCGTTGGCCCCGCCGGGGCCCCTCCGCTGGGGGGCGGGCCAGTTCCGAGTTTGCGAGGGAGCATCACGCCGGTGTGTTGCGGCAGCTCGTTGTGTTTGCTAACTTTGTGCATGCTTTTTGTGTTCCTCTTCCCCCTTCCGCCTGCTCGTCCACACAAGTTGTTCAGCTGGGCCTTCTGCATGCGGCAGCCCCCCAAACCCACTCCAGGCGCCCGTGCCTGCGTGAGAGCCACCTGGGTTCGTGGCAGCTGGACGCGCACCACTGGTTTGGGGCATGGTTCCACCGAGCGTGTCAAGAAGCCGCCTTTTTCGGGGCTCAGGCGGCACACGTGAGAGGCAATAAAACGGGGAAGTTTCTGACATAGGCCACCCTTCCCCCCACCCCAAACAGACCAGTCGTTCCTTTGTGCGCGGGGGGGGGGCAAGTTCTCGTTTCGAACAATTATTTCCCTTTTGGCAAGTTTCGCTTTCATGGAGCACGAAGAACCATTTCGACCTGCGCTGGAGAGCGTGTGCGTGAGGCCGATCCCCGGGGAAGACCCGGCCTGGGGAAGGGCCGCCGTTAAGCCCATGCTGCCCTCTAGTGGCCAGTGTGTGGGAGCACACGGCCCCCTGGGACAAACTGTAGGGATGGGGGCCCTGCCGCTGCTCAGGAATCGCTCGCATGCTCGTTGAATGTGGGGCTCCCTCAGTGCGGGGGGGGGGTCCTGCCTGACCCTTCCTGCACGGACCTCGGATGGCACCTGCCCCCCTCCCCGCCGTGTGCACACACGGCCTCCCAGGGGCCCTGCGAGGCAGGCTAGGGCGAGGCTGGCCCGTGGGCGCCTCCACGGGCGGGCAGGGACCACCGCCTTTTTCCCGGCCTGGTCACCGCCCCCCCATCGGTCCTCCTCGTCGGCAGCATCTTCTGACAACCCGCATGGGACTGACAGGACAAACCTCCGGCTCAGACATAGGACCCAGTCGCCATTTATTTTGTGGGTTTCTCCGCTTGCTCTGAGGCCTCCCTCCCTCCCCCACCCAGCCCACGTACTGGGAAACCGGACCACCCCGCAGCTCCTCCTCCGTGTCCCCAGATCCCTTTCCTCCTCCTGCCAGCCGGGGGCAGCGGAACGGTTTTCGGGGCACGCATGCACACAGACAGCCCTGCCGTCCCGCTCTCCGTAAAAGCCCTTTGTCGCCGGCAGGCCGCCGGGGATCCCCGCGCACCCCGCTGGCGGCCTTCGGGCCAGCCGCACGCTCGGCAAACGCCCGGCCTCCACGGCCCGGGAGAGGGTCCCCCGCATCCCCCGCCAGGAGGCTCTCGGGTCGCCCCGGATCCCGCCCTCCGCCGGGCGGCCGTGTCAGATGCGGATGGTGTTGATCCGGAGGGGCTGCACGTTCTTGCCGTTGGCGTGGCTCTGCCCGGGGCTGAAGTAGGAGCAGAGCTTGCCGGGGAACTTCTCGCGGAAGGTGTAGAGCCAGGACATGTCGTCGGCGTTGTAGAAGATGAGCAGCCCCCGGTCGTAGTCCAGGAAGACGCCCACGCGCTCCAGCTTGCCCCTCACGTTCAGCCGCGTCCAGGGCTCCGTGCAGGCGCTGTACTGGCTGCCGTCGTGCATGACGATGCAGTAGAAGCCGCGGCTGGGCTGGATCTGGATGCTGCCCCTGCGGGAGACGGCCTCGTGGGCCAGCCCGATCATCCACTGCGTCTTCTCGGAGACCACCACCTCCCAGTAGTGCACGCCGCCCCCGAAGGCCTCCGCGCCCAGCACGGACACCTCCACGTCGAAGCGCTTGGGCGAGTCCTGGAGGGGCTGCGGGTGCAGGTTGCCGTACGCCACGATGGTGCAGTCGTCCGACAGGATGAGGCGCTGGTGGGCCGTGGCCGGGTCCAGGGTGAGCGTGGCCGGCACTGGGGGCAGCAGGAGGGCAGGGCAGGGCAGGGCAGGGCAGGGGGTGAGCTCCGGGCCGGCGCCTCTCGCGAGACGGCTGGCGGAGGAGGAACCGCTGCTCAGCCCCTGGGACCCTCGACAGGGCCTGCTCCGGGCTGCGGCTGGCGCTCCCCCAGAAGCACCCTCCGTGGGGCCTCGCCCCCGTCCTGGCCACGTTTGGGATTCTGGGAGAGGGCCATGGACCCTCCCGCAACACGGCTGCCGTCGCGGGGCTCGTCTGTTCATGGAACGGCGGCCGTGGGGGGGGGGGGCAGCTCCACGGCCGATTTCCCAGCAGGCACCTGGACGAGGCTGAGGAAAGTCCCTCCCCGTGGGCACGGCTGCAAAGAGGGTGGGGGCAGGTCTGCCCTGCCGAACCCAAAGGAGGATGGTGCCGGGCGCAGCCCCTCCCTCGGCAGCATGCCAGCCGTCCAGTTTAAAATAACCCTCGCTCCACAGCTCCCCAGAAATGAACTAAAAGTCAGGAGCCTGGCGTGGAGCTGAGAAAGGCGGTCCAACCAGGGACCCCGGAGCCCCAGTCGATCCTCCTTCCGCGGCGGCCTGCCCCGTGCAGAGCGGGACCTCGCCTCTCGACCCCTCAGCAAGGCCCCTGCCCAGCCACCGCAGAGGCTCGGAGGGCGCACGTCACCCCGCCCGGGGGCAGAGAGCCGCACTCACCTGGGTGGATGTCCTGGAAGAGGGACTTCCAGATGGTGTACTGCAGCGGCCCCATGTACTTGGAGGTGGGGAAGTCCTCGTAGGTGAGGTTGGTCTCATGGATCTTTCCCTTCAGCCTTCGGGAGAGAAGGAGGGGGTCAGCAACGGCCTGCCTCTCGCACGTGGCTTTGCCAGACCTTCTCTGGGATGGCGGCACTACAACTCCCATGAGCCCCAGCCTGTATAGCAGCTTAGGGCGGGCGCGGCTCTTCTTGCCGCCTGACCCAGCTCGCCTCCCTCTGTGCTCCCAAGCCAGCAGCCCTATTCCGGCCCCGCACTGCCAAGGCAGGGAGATATTTAATCTGTTTGTTTATTATTAAACTTATATTTCACAACAAACTCTCCAAAAGGACTCTTAGGTGGATTACAACATTTTGCCGAACTGGAAACTCTTCCAGCGCTTAATTTTCCTCTGCAGAAAATTTTCCAGGTGAGTGGAAAACTTCCCTTTGTGGCAAACAGGTAGACGCTGATTGCAAATACATTATTAAGCCAGTGTGGCTGTTCCAGGCTCACACGGGCAGAAAAATGGCCAAGTTTGCTTCATTAGGCAAAATGTTCTGTTAAATGCTGGACAATTTATGTGGACAAACAGTGCTCCATCTCCATAACCAGCCAAAGTTTTCTCTCCACTCCAGTTGCGTCAGTCTTTTCACTCCTTGCACATTATCTGAAACATGAGTCCCAAACATCATGATGCTAATTTGGGGGGGGGGAGATATGTTAATTGCCTGCCTTCCTCTGCACAAGATGACAGTTTCTTGGGTACTCTTGATAACATATTATTTTGACCCTGTTGTGATGGTACTGTATTATTATTAATTATTACACTAATTGCTTGTTGTAATAATATTATCACTACTAATCATATTAATATGACACTTTCCACAAAGGTATCGAGTTGATGCAGATTCTGTAATAACAACCAATGCAGATTGTTAACGCCCATCCTGTCAAAATAGCCAGGTAGGACTTTTGATTTTTATCCAGTTTAGTAACATGCGAGAAAGCAAGGTTTTGTTCTTTGGCTACAAAGGCACATCAAAGGATTCCCTCTGATTAAATTAAACGTAGGTTTTGCAGTCCCTGGATTATATACATACAAAGTATTATAATTTAAATTTCCTAATTTAGGATTTGATATATTCAGTCTATTGCATTATAGAGCCAAATCTGGATTATTTAACTTAGCATTAACTTTATATTTCTTATCGTAGTTCTTTCAAGTACTTTGCCATTTATTTCAGTCCAAATATCATACCTTATGTTAAACACTCTTGGTGTTCCTCCGTAATAAACGCTGATTGATTGACTGATTCACTGGAACAGTGCAGGTGACGGACATGCAAGTCCCTTAGATGATTGCAAGACTTCCATTTTTTTAAAAACTCTCGCAACGGAGAGTGTGAATCTGTGCATGTTTACGCAGAACATGCGAACTGAAAAATTTCCAGTGCAAATCTCCCCAAGACCACAGGTCTCCCTGGTGCAGGGATCCCTTCTGGGCAACCCCGTCCCGGAGCCCCAAGCCCCGCTGCCCTCCCACACCCACCTCTCGGAGAGCGAGCTGATGCCGGCCAGGAAGCTGTGCTTGTCCGCCTCGGCCAGCCGCTCCTGCAGGATCTGGCTGCCCTCCTGGACCTTGCGCAGCTGCTGGCTGTAGCGCTGGATCTTCTGCTCGATGTCCGTCAGGGTCCTGGCCGTGTCGGCCTCCAGCTCCTCCAGCATGGCCTTCTGGCGCTCGCGCAGCAGCCGGTGCAGCCGCTCAAAGGCCTCCCCGATGGTGGCGCGCAGGCTCTTCGCGGAGGACTGGCGGGGCAGCAGAGGGGGAGCGGTTACCCGGGGGGTGCGCTCGGACCTCGCCCCGCGTTCGCTCGCTCGCACGGCGGATCACCAGCTGCCCGCCCGCGGGAGGCCCGCCCGCTCCCCGGCGATGTCCGCGGACCGCTGCCTGCGGGACTGGAGGCGGCAGAGCCCCCCGGGCCCCAGCGGGCGGCCTCCGTGTTCGGCCAGCGAACTCCGCCGGCGATGCCCCCTTACCTTCGTCTCGGCCAGCTGGCGCTTCAGCAGGGCCAGCGCCTCCTGGTGGCCGCGCTCACTGTCCTGCAGCGTCTGCAGCTGCTCCTTCAGCTCCCGCTGCAACGGAGACAAGTCCCTGCTCGTGGGCAGCACCCCGGGAAAGCCGGGGGGCAGGAGGCAGGGAGCTGCCCCTCCCCAACCCTTCCCGCTCGCTCGTCTCCCGGTCCCCCTCTCCCCATTGCAGCAGGGGGTTCGCAGCTTCAGCCCACAAGCCCCGCCGGCCCTTGCCCTTTAGCTGGGGCGGATGGGAGGTGCAGGGATTGCAGGCTGGCCGTGCTTCCGCCCCGAGCGTCAGCCTGGGCGCCGAGGCAGCTGTCCGTGGTGCTCGGCCCTGGGTCGCTTGCGCAGCCCGCCGGGCGCCCTTCCCACTCAGAGCGGCCTCCTCGGAGCTGCCGCCTCCAGGCCCAGCCGGCCCCGGAGGCTTGTGTGGCCCTCACAAGGGGCCGCGGGCGCTGGCCACGCGAAGGGCAAGGACGCTTGGGAGCTCCAGGCCAGCAAAGGGGGCAGACGCGGCCGGCCGGGCGCGGGTCGCACCGCAGGGGGCGCGGGGAAGCCCTGCGTGCAGGGCAAGGGCGCCCCGGACCCGGCGCTAAGCGGCCCTGGAGAAGCGTGGGAGCCCGTGGGGGGGCCAGGGCGGATCGGGGCAGGGGCCCTCGCCGGGCGCAGCGCAAGCGCAAGCGCGCGGCCAGGGCTCGGCTGCTGGGCGCTGCGCGGGGGCGCGCGCACCTGCAGCTCGTCGAAGGCGTCGTCCAGGCTGGTGACCTGGTGCCGCTCGTGCACGGCGGGCTCGTCGCAGAAGAAGCAGACGACGGCGCGGTCCGAGAGGCAGAAGAGCTTGACCTTGGCGTGCTCCTTGGCGCAGGCGGCCGCCGAGGCGCCGCGGTGCTGCGCGCTGCGCAGGATGGCGTCCAGCGGGAAGGCGGCGTAGCGCTCCACGATGTTGGCCAGCTTGAGGCTGGGCGCCAGCGCCGGCTCGGCGAAGCAGCGGCGGCACTCGGGGCAGTCGCGCGCCGGCGCCGCCTGCGCCTCCTGGCGGCTCCAGTGCTCGCCGATGCAGCGGCGGCAGAAGTAGTGCTCGCAGCCGAAGCTCACCGGGTCCTGGTAGAGGCTCAGGCAGATGGAGCACACCAGCTCGTCCTTCAGGCTGCACGGCGCGCCCGCGCCCGCCATGGCGCCGCGCCGCAGGCGGCTGCCCGGGGCGCCCGGGCCGCGCTGCCCGCTCGCCCGCCCCCCTCTCGCTCGCTCGCGGCCCGGCCCGGCCCCGCTCGGCTCAGGCCCCGGCCCCGGCTCCTCCCTGCGCTCGGCGGCTGACGG